ATAAAATTATGCATCAGAAGTTTTTTTCGGTAGTAATAATATACTTAAAACAGTTGAATACCCAACGCGAAATCCTACGTACGAGATCTTCATTAGCAATCTAAAAAAGGACAATAACCATAAAATTAATATTTACTATTAATAATAATATTAAATACAAAAATATCAGGAAGGTTACAAGGCCAAAAAACTGATGGTAAATATTATTCCTCAACAGTCATTATGTAAGGTGATTTTTTTGAAATCATCGTAAAAAAGATTTCAAAGCCTCTCGAAAACGTTGTGTGTTGTTCCTGAAAGACGTAGTTCACACGATCGAATGTCATTATATAAAAATATCGTCCGTCAGAAACAAACAAAGCGAAAAGTTCACGTAAAGGTTGCTGTTGGACAAGAACTTGGAGGTAGTCCAACAGCTGCCCCCTGTCTTCGTCAGCCAAGCCCGATAAACATTTTTGCTTCTTTACTTCTAATATGGTATAAGCATATTTTGAAATAAAAGCATTTTCTGCAACATCAGCGGCGCTGAAAACACTAATATCTGGCATATACCCCCCAAGATATGGGCTTTTATGTGTGTCTGCCGCAGCCACACCCTTCCAAGCAGAGTTTGATACCTCCATCAATCCGTTAAACCACGACTGCATTTCCTCTTCAGTTGATCGATTATGTGGGCTCGGCTTTTTTTCCAAAAAATCTCTGACTGATTTGGGAAGCTTTCGTGGTTTAGCAGAATGGAGGAGGTCACTTACAGTCGCTTCTTCAAAACTCACGCTTTTGTAAATTTCTGATCGTGTGACTGAATCTATAAAATATAGAGAATGTTAAAAATAAAGATGAACAAGTATCAACTAGAGTTGCTGGTAAATCTAATGAGACTGGGTGCCCTAATTCCCCCACCACTTCTGATTGGATATATGAAAATGTTATCACTGATTGGACAAAATAGATTACGCAATTTTTCGTTGCCAATTAAGTAGTATTCATGCTTTATTTTCGCCTTAATACCAAGAGTAAAAATATGTTCCATAGTTTTATTATGTTTTTTGCCGTATTTGATTTTCTTCGGTCATGATGTCAGATCAGAATTCGTAATCAATTTTGTCCAATCGAAGGCAAGATTTCTGAGCGTCCAATAAGAACTCGTGGGGAAAATTAGTAAACCCGTGAAACTGGTGACTATCTAAAATCTGATCATATGGGCGGATTTTTACAATTCGAATATGTCACCTGAATTGAACGTGATATCTAAAAATAGATAACCAATAAAAATTTTCGATGATCATAAAAATTTTATATACTCACGTCATTATATACAAATATCTGACATCTATAGAACTTGACAATGACTAGTAAATGCCAACTTTGTCAAGAAATCTTTTCTACTCGAAAAGAACTTGTAACCCATGAAAGAATTAGGCATCGAAATAACAAAATTATACCCCACCGTTATTTACTTATTAAGCCCCCTTTTGAGCAAATCATGATTTATCAAGATGTATTTATAGTTCTTATTAAAAAACATCTTGGTTTTAACAGGCACTCAGTTGGCACAAAACAAGTTTCTATTAATGCTTTTCCAGAAAATATATTTGTTTACTTTTTTGAGAATAAGCCTTCTTTTCGATATAGTTCTGTACAATAAAA